AGGTAATGAATAGGTTATTCACTATGGGGCTCAATGATACATTTTTGTGTGTGTGTGAATAACTGTCTGACTGACTGAATGAATAAATGGTGGATATATAGTTAGATAGATTGAAAGGTCCATAGATGAGAAGGGTCTATAGATGGGCAAGATGGTGAGAAGGTGGATAGATGGATGGATGCTTGGGTGTGTGCATGAATGAATGCATGATGATTGCTTGAGTAGTTGGATAAATAGACTGATGAATGAGGGAAAAAATGGTTTGAAGGATGGATGAATGAATATCTAACATTTAGATGAGAGATGGATGAACGAGTGACTGAATGAATAAATGGATGGATGGATGAAAGAATGAAAAAGGGAATGAAGGAATAAGTTAGTGGCAGACTGAATGGAGGGATGGATAGATGAAGAATGGTAAAATAGATGGAGGGATGGATGAATGCATGGATGTGAGAATTAAAAAGGGAATAAAGAAATTAAAGAATAAGTTAGTGGTAGACTGAATGGAGGGATGGATAGATGAAGAATGGTAAAATAGGTGGATGGAGGGATGGATGAATGCATGGATGAGAGAATTATAAAGGTAATAAAGAAATGAAAAAATAAGTTAGTGGTAGACTGAATGGAGGGATGGATAGATGAAGAATGGTAGGATGGATGAATGGAAGGATGAATGAATGAATAAATACATGGTTTGCTGGAATGATAGGTCAGTGGGTATATGGCCCCCTGGTTTTGCATGACTGATATGGCATGACTGGTTTTGCCGTGACTTATATGGTAAGACTGATTAACAGACACTCTAAATAAATGAATGAGTGAATGAATGGATGGATGGATGAATGAAATGAATAGATACAAAGGTGGGTGGAGTGATAGGTCAGTTGGTAAATAACCCCTTGGTTTTGCGTGACTGATATGGTATGACTGACTTACTGACAGTCTAAATGAATGAACGAATGAATGAATACATAGATAGATATATCAAATAGTTGGTTGGTATGCTTACATGATGGTTGACTTAGCGAATTAATTTATAGATTAATAAGCAGATCTGCATTAAGTAGCTTCTAATTCAAACCATATTCACTCACAGACTCTCAAACAGACTTCACATAAAAAACAAAAACTTGTCACAATGAATAGCTTGTTCTCTACATTGTTCTTGGTTTTCCTATTCTTTGGTAGTCAATATCTAAGCTAGTCTTTAAATGCTATGTTTTTTTATTATATTATCTTTTTATAGTGTTTTATTCAAAGTGGGCTCCCTGTGCTGAAATTATTGTTGGCAGTACTGGCAGTACTAATAACTGAAGCCACAGGTTGTTAATTAATTAATTAATTAATAATTAATAAAGATAAGGATAAAGTAAGGGTATCTACTATGATGTCACGACAGCCTGATATGATATGTCTATATATGACATGAAATACGATCTAACAAATAGAAATTCCCTTTTCCATATTAAATTGGATAATAAATTGATATGCCAAATCAGTATAATAAAATCTAATTATTTTAGAGCATCAATTATGTGTTAAAGAAGAGAGTCGAAGCTACTTAAAAGAGAGTGCATTACTGGAAAGTCACTCACAAGACAGAAGATATAAAGCTATCTTTGTCAAGATTTTTCCATGTCCAATATCGGTTTGCATTTGAACACAGAAAGTGAAACCACTATGAGACCAAATAAAAAAGTAACTATATATGAATGGCAATCGCCAGATATGAGTATACAACGGCAATAACTTAATAATATATTTCAAGTAATCTTGGAAAA